CAGTCAGCAGCCCCGATGAACCAGAGCACGCTGCGTGGTAAAACACACTGACGTCGGTGCCACGCGAGAGGCCACACAGGCGATCTGCGTGCCCAGTGATCCAACAGCCCAAGTTCGATACTGCGCACGTGAACGACTCAGATTCGTTCCCTCCTTAGGCGTGATCGGACAGACGAGATCAATCATGATGAACGGTTTAGATTCGTCTATGCAATTGGCCTAAACAGGCAATGATCGAACGACTCTCCTCACTCCATATCAACGCGAATGGACAGCCCAGATCGATACAGGAAGAATATAAAAATATCACGTCGCAGGGGAACCTTAACCCTAGCCGGAGAAGAAGGACCAGTTGCCGGAGAAGAAGGTCGACCGCTGACCGTCGTTGCACCGGAGCCACCACCGACCATTAAAAAGGTAAAATTTCTCCCTACTCGCTCGAAATTCAATTCCAAGCCTCTTTGTGGCCATATCAAAGCAAAATGAACAACGGGTGAGTCAAAAACTGAGGGCAAAGTTCGGCAGAGCTGTTACAACCAAAACTCAAAATCTCTTCCGATGAGCCCCTTCCCATTTCCTGTTTCACGCGATTTTCTGACTATTGTGCTCACTGTCCTTTTCGGTGCAGGTTAGTCGAAGAAGAAAACCCACCTCCGAAGGAGAATCGGTGGAGCCGTCGCACCCGTAGGACCCCGCCCCTCCCCCACCGGTAGGTTCGATTTTTCTATGATTTCTGAACAACCAAAGCCCCCTAACATATTTTATCCCATGGGTACCTGTAAAACCAGCTAAAACCGACCAAAATTGGTCAGGTTGAGGCGAACCGCCACCGTGTCAGAACCCTAAAATTGGTTAGAAAGAATTTTCAACACGGAATTTTAGATTTTTTGGGTATTTTAAGATACTATTTTGGATTCCCGCAGGGAAAATTTACGAAATTCGGGACCTGTTAGGAGGTGTAGTGGATAGTTTGGCATTTTAAAATACTGATCCGGATAAGGATTTCTCACCCTATTCCATGTTACAGTAAATTAAGGTTTAATAATTAATAATTGTGTATTTTTGTAAAAACTAGAAAAACCCTAGCAATAATAACAGGTTACTAGTGAATGCGAAAAATGATTAGTGTATGTTTGCCCTAAACTCATATGTGTTGCCTATTTATTTTTATGTACTGCCTAAATTACTTGTTGTTCCGCTGTATAATTTAAATTATTACATTTAATTACTTTTTCGTTATTGATTGCTTTATTGTAATTCTTATCTGATTGTCTGAGTTGAAAATAAAGGCCCTGAATAAGTTTCTCGATTATTAAGGCATGAAGTTGTGTTGTTTGTATAAATGCCGTTTAATTAATATGTGAATATGATATGAGAGGTTGGTATGCGCGTGATGTTTGTTTTGTTGATAGATATCTTTATGTGAAAAACTTACTAGGTATCTTGGGAAAAGAGCAGACGACCTGGTACATGTGAAGCTCTACCGTGAACATTAACTTACTCGGACGGCGCTGGGAAATCTCATACCGAAAGATTCTGAGAGATATGATTCGCTCTCATATCAGACGTCATATCGAGACGATGATATAGTAACACCTATTACCATACAGTATATACGGACGACCGATTACTGACAACTTTGGAGATTGGGTTCATGC